AGGGGTACAATTTAGAGAAGGATGTTGCCATTTCAACTTGACTCACCTTTTTGTGGGCAGGGGTAAAACTTAGAGAAGGATGTTGCTCTTCCAGGTTGACCCACCCTTTGGTGAGCCACCCGAGGGTAAAATTTAGAGAAGGATGTTGCCATTTCAACTTGACTCACCCTTTTGTGGGCCATGCAGGGTTAAAATTTAGAGAAGGATGTTGCCATTTCAACTTGACTCACCCTTTTGTGGGTAGGCAGGGGTAAAATTTAGAGAAGGATGTTGCCATTTCAACTTGACTCACCCTTTGGTGAGCCACCCGAGGGTAACATTTAGACAAGGATGTTGCCATTTCAGCTTGACTCACCCTGTTGTGGGCCAGGCAGGGGTAAAATTTAGAGAAGGAAGTGGTCATTCCAAGTTGACTCACCCTTTGGTGAGCCACCCGAGGGTAAAATTTAGAGGAGGAAGTGGCCGTTCCATCTTGACGACCCTTTTAACTAAGCAAACATCCGGGAAAGGGCCTGTGTGCGCACTTGAGTCTCCCCCATGGACTGTGTGCGCAGATGAGTCAAATCTGTGTGCGCAGATGAGGCGCAAGTGCTAACAAAATGTGTGTGCGCAGATGAGCCAAATCTGTGTGCGCAGATGAGGCGCTGCCCCCACAAGTGCAATGAGAATCATTTGGCAATTCTCTTCTACTTTAGGTAAACTTTAGGGGTACTAGGTTCAACATAGTGCCGAGGTCTAGATAAGCTATTGCAGCGCTGCAATGATCTGTGACATGGGAATCTCTTTTGCACATCCTCTTGACACAAATTTAGGCAGGAGGACCTGTCCCTGTCCTCCTTTGGGCTGAAACGAGTCACCAACCCTCGGCGCAAGTCCAGGAAAAGAAGGTGTCCTACAACGACTTGGGCACTTTCTCTTTGAACTCCTATCCCTTTAGTTGGGAGCCCCGGACGGTCATTCCGACTCCGGTTCCGGGGTGAGATCCCGGACTGGATGATGCAGTTAAAAAACCGTCCGCAGTCGTGCGTCGTCTTACATGTCAATAGCTACATGTCAATTCTTTATCGTATCATACCGTTATCATTTATCATAATATACCGTCATCATAGTCTGAAGGTTGGCTGTCATCCTGAAGCATTTCTTCTTTATGTGGGTTTCTGGCACGAAGCGCATCTTTCTTTTTCTTTTCCAAGGTGCAATTACGCTTTAAATTGTCCAATCAAAGACTGCACACTCTTTGCTAATCCAAATACATCATGATCTACCTATGTTTGCCTGTGTCATTTGGTTTTGGCATGCCAAAGGCGTCTCACTTTGGTGCCGAAAGCTCCTTCACCCATTTGGGTCTGATGGAATGCTTGATGTTCCTAAGAATATCGAACTCGTTATATATTGTTTCTGCCAATTCGTCGAATTCCAGTGAGACCGTGGCATGTGACTTTTCTTTTGTTTTCCTGCAACACGTGCTTCGGCTGCTCGTGTTGCTCTTGAAGGCTTGAAAATCCTTTGGGCGCCTGTGGTGGATGCCGCTTACTTCAACCGCATTGGCCGCAGGACAGGGTGCGATTGACTTGAATCCGGAAGCGTGTTGGAAGATATTCTGATGGACGGCGGTGCCAAGCATCAAGAGGCTACAGGTACGTTTGCAGGCATTAAACATCCCATCTTGGAACGCAACTCAAAGCGAGATGTACTGCAACAGTCGAGGAATGTGCGGTGGTCACCAGGGTTTGATCACAGTCAAGCAGAAAGTCCAGCAGTCAAGGGTTGATCGCAGGTGTCATAGGAGTCGCATGATTGCGTGTTGCTTCTGAAGGGATCTCATTTTCGCTGTGCAAGTGGTGGTAATTCTTGCTGCACTTAGTGATTGCAATGCCGGTCAATGAATTTATCCATAAAGCCATAAACATCGTTGCACAAGAAGCGAGAATCAGTGCTGTACTGCCCGAACCACCCAACACCAAGCCAATGCTCTCAACCATTCTGCTTTCATTTGCTTTCCTGATCGTGGTCAGGAAGACTTGGCTCATCCCCACTCAGTTTGCCATTGGAGTGGTTGGAAATCCCAGACACACAGCCTCAGCACCGCCTTCGTGTTTGTTCCGTTTTCCTCACATCTTTCGGGATGGGCACTGGGGATATTTTGGGAGCGAGCTGAAGAGTTTGTCGATATTTTCAACATCATCGAATGCGGAAAAAAAAGCAAAATTCCCTCAATTGGTACAGCCAGCCTACTGAAAGCTGTAATCCATTGCGACCCTGGATGGATGATATGATATACTGTACACATTTTCCTACTCGAAGTATGCATGGCTGCATTGACAGGAGCACACGCATGACACCAACTGAAACATTCTGAAAGCAACACGAGCTAGACATTGCTTAACTACGTCCCTTGTGACCAGCGGTCTGTTTGCCTAGGTGATGATGGTGCTGTCGCAACGGTTGGATTCCTTGCTTTATGTGCCATTCTGAGAGGGATCCTAATCCTACCACTCATCAGTTTGCGGAGACTTTACTATCTTTACTAGCAACATCAGTGAATCAACAGCCTTTCAATGCGTCTACAGCTTCCTCATTTGAGTGAAACATCTCATGCGCAGGTGGAAGAGCCTCACATCACAACCCTTACTTGCCTATTCTTCTTGCTCTATCTTCTGTGTGCCACACAGGAGCAGGGTGGCTTCAGACTGCCATGTGCAATCATGTACATCTTACTTTATATAGGCGTTGTTGTGTGGGTTTGACCGGAATCTATGAGAACCGTGTGGAGCAGTTGGCTCAACATTCTTCAATGGGTGTTGCTTGATCAGAGAGTTGCTTGTTCCACTCTCCTGAGTTTCCTTAGTGTTTTAGCTCAAAGTGCTGACTGCAGGGGGCAGCAACTTTGTTTGTGAGATATTGGATTTCCACTGCACAGTGATACTGCGCTAAATATAGTAAAACGTTATGTTCTTGGTTATCTTTGCAAAATTTGACTTTTTTCTTCTAGACTCTCGCCACTCCTATTCCATTCCCTTTCCGCAGCTCCAGCATCCGGAATTCGATAAACCAGAACACTTGCATATGAGGACATTGCGGTAGACGGATGGGCCATAGCTATTCTCCGGAAGGAGAATGTGGGCTATGCTGCAGACTTCCCAGCTTGAGAGAAAGAAGCTATGCGAATGACTTTGAATCACTTTGACACTTCCCCCATATAGGACCCTCAACGGATTTGCGCAAGTGCGCGCCACTGTCACTGAGACAGCAAGGCCACGAGCAACGCCATCGGTCAAACCTTGGGCTATGTGACTTGACCAGCAGGGCAGGCTTCTTTTAGGCGAAGCAAAAGCACCTGTATCGAGCACAAGAATATGTGGAATTTGTGTGTTTCCATGAAAGACGTTGCAAAGATATCCAACACAACGAACCTGCACCTTGCGTTTGTCACGGACGAGGAGCAGAGGAAGGCGAACCCTTCGGCACCGACCCACTGTGACTGGACCCAACTGGGAACCAACAGGGAGGCCATTTTAGAAGCTACTAGGTTGGAGGCCGTCGCTACTAGTATATAACAATAAGCTTTCTAGTAACTAGAAGCTAGGGAACACCGGACCACTCCACCCATGTGAGGTGCACACCGCGACTCCATTCGCTTTTTCGCTGGCGGACCCCGCACCTTCAGGCCATTGGTTTTACCGGATTTATGGCTCTGGAGCACTTCCAGCTCATGACACTTTCGGACGCTCAGCTGAGCAGCCTTCTTGCTGAGACGCGTGGGTCATATGATAGTCTATGATAGTATCATTGGCGCATGCAGCAAACCCGGTGCGTGCTTTGAGACATAGACTGGAGCATCCTGTCAACAAACATATCAATATATATACTTTATATATATATATATAGTTGCTGCGTCACTGCTTCTTTGTCTTGTCCTTGAAAGCTCAAAAGTAAAGTAAAAGTATATATCTTTTTCTGGCCTCCCACGTTTGTCTCTTCCGGGCAGAAGCACTGATGTAATTGTTGTTCTTGACAGTGTCAGGAGTTTTTGTTGATCTGGGGGATGATCTTCATTGCGGCTCGGAGTTTAGACTGTGCTTGAGACACAGTCAAGACCAAGATGGGCTGGGCATTGATTGGAGTTGGCTTAATGACGGTTCCAGTTTTCATAGCAAGAGCAGCAAGGACCCACGGAGGATGCATGCGTTCATCTTATTTGTGTTGGCTCATAGGCTTAAGGCCCTGGGAGAGTCTGTTCAATCCTGGGATTTGGTCCAAGTGCAAATGATTCGCTGCTACGGCGCCTGGGCGTTAGCGTTTGGAAAGCCGGGCGGCTCACAGCGGCCATGCACCCGAGAGCCAAAACCCAATATTTGAACCCTCCATGTGCCTTGAAACCTTTGCAACTTGAGGTGTAGCTTCCTGTAAGGTGTAGCGGTCCAAACAGTGCAATCTTGGAACTTAGATCCTTTGCTTTCAGTCCGACCTCGTTTTCCGATCGGCATCTTGCAGTGCGAAGCCAAAGCGGGATGTGGACGGCGCCGTCAGAGGTTTTACGAACTCCCCTGAGGTTGCGACCCTGCTCGTCGGACTGCTCAAATCTGAAGGTGCGATTCCTCCAGAAGATGAACCGGAGCCTTACTTGGTCACTAGTTGATGTTGGAGCAAACTGATCAGGCAATTATTCCATGTGCATCCTATTCAGATGTCTTCATATCTCTTCATCCCTTCATGTGCCATACCACATCTCGAGACCACCGACAGTTTCGAGGATTGTCAGATCTGGCGCGTTGTGGTAAGTCGTGGGGCTTCCCTGCTGAGGAAAGCATCAGCACAGCTTACAGGAATATGTTCAAGATTCTGCGTCTTCATCCTGTTCGGCTTCTCATGCTATTGCTGGCAACCTGGAAGTTCCCCTTTGCAGTCTCAGATGGAGTCTTGGAAACTAGAGGGCAAAAAGGAGTCGCCCATCGAACAGGATTTGGAGTCCTCCAAATGTGGTGCAGGGAAACCCTCTCAAGAGAAGAGGCTCTGTGAATCCACACCGGAGCTTGTATCTTTTTGCTCTGCACCGCTGCAGTGGGGGGATCCCCTAAAAAAACCTTGAAGGGATCCACCTGGATGACCGGTCTTCCAAAGGTGAAATGAGTGGGGGAGGAGCCACAAGACGGTTGTGGACTCGTAGACTGTGATGCTGATTTGGCACTGGAGACTTGAGTTCATTGAAGCCAAGTTTCAACTCAATCGAACATGATACAGTACACTAGTATTAAATTCAAGGGGTCGAACAATTTTTGTAATCTGATATAGTAGAGTCGAGTCCACTTCAATACAACTTTATACAAAACAAAACACCACAATGCGATACAATGCAGTGGATACAGTACGATAAATATAGCACATGCGTGTAGATGTAAAATAATGAATACCTAATTAGCATTTCGGTCAATGGTCAAGATTCTCGCAACAAAGCACCACAAGCAACAAAGCAGCGGACCAGGATCGGTCTGTTCAACCTTTCTTCTTCAAAGCAGCCTTTTCATGAACCCATGGACATCGCTACTAGTAACAAGGTGCATCGCCGTGCATCGCTACTACTAGCAAGAAGCTACTAGTAGCTAAGTGCATTTCCACTAGCAACAAGAAGTAACTAGTAGCAAGGTGCCTTACTACTATATAGTAGCTTGTTACTACTAGTAGGGCATACAAGCAGTTGCCGGCGGCGGAAGTTTCCTATAAGAATAAATTGACCTATAGGAGTGTCCACGTTCTCTCCAACATGCGCGTCCTCCAGTCAAACGCACGCGCTCCGGACTTTTGACCCACAGGATTCCACGTGTGTAAGGTGTGTGCCCCCTGCAGGATCAGCAGCTCACAACAGCGTACTGGGTTGTATCTTTGCCACGACAAGAGGGGTCTATGACGAGTGGTGTATTGACCAGCAGTTGAATGTCCTGTCCTGCATAAATGCAACCAAATACTATCAGTATGAACTGTGCCAAACCTGCACGCCGCGAGAGATGACTCAGCAGCGAGAGATGACGCAGCCGCGAGAGATGACTATAGCGAGAGCTGACTCAGCAGCGAGAGATAAATGAGCAGCGAGAGATGACTCACAGCAGCGAGAGCTGACTCAGCAGCGAGAGATGACTCCTCCGCGTACTACACTTGTACTACAAAGTGGCCAGTTCTCAGCTTCCAGCTCCACAGGTTGTTCCGCGTGCTAAAGTTGTACTAGAAAGTCGCCAGTCAGTTCTCATCTTCCAGCTCCCCAGATGCTCCGCGTACTGCAGTTGTACTACACAGTCGCCAGTTCTCAGCTTCTAGCTGCACAGATTGCTCCGCGTACTAAAGTTGTACTACAAAGTCGCCAGTTCTCAGCTTCCAGCTC